CTGGCCCCCTTCCTCCGGTACCGCATCTCCGAGCCTTGAATTTCACCGAATTCGGCTCTGGCAGAGGCCCCCGGTGGAGGTTTTGCCGTGCGGTGGCCTCGGACGGGGCCTGCCCGTGGGGAGGAGGTGAGGGGATGCCCGGGGGTGCCTCCCGTCCCTGAGGGAGAAGAGGGCGAGACCCTCACAGAACAAATGCCGGTGACCGATCAGAGCTGAGGGACAGCCCCGGGAGCGTTCGGGGCTCGAGACCTCCCTGTGTCAGGGCACGGCTGGGTGGTGACTGGAGCTGGCCGTGCTCCTCAGGCGGTGCTTTTCCTTGCGGGAGTGGGAGGAAGCGATTCTTCCCTTTGGAAAGAGCAGAATGCCCGTTCCTCAGCGGGATGACGGGCTGCAAGAGGGGATTCGTTTTGCTGGGCCCGGCCGTCCTTTCTCCTGGCCTCCCCACCCCTTGACAGAAGGGATCCTGGTGTTCCCCAACCCTGGGCTCCATCCTGGAGCTTGCTGCTGCTCCACGGCTACAGCGTGAACAGCTCCAGCTTTTTCCCAGCTGTGGGAGGATTAAATCCCTTCCTTCACGTCCTCCCCAGCCTCTCCTGCTCTGCTGAAGAAGCAGAAGCACAGAGTGCATTGAGGCGCTCAGCCTGGAGCTGAGGGCATCCTTCAGGGAGCCCCTCAGAGGAGCGCCCTGCTCAGTCAGCTACACAAGTCAGTCCTGTCACATTTCACTTTTAAATGCCACGACTGAGGTGAAGTTTATTTTAACTGTGTGTTTAAGAAATAAAAAAAGTTTCTTTATGTGTTGGTACCTGCTGTAAAGTGAGAGCTTCCATCTTCTCTGTGCGTCTGGAAGCCGCTAAGTGGAAATTTGATGTCAGGAAGCGTCTTTAGGCTTTGAAGCCATAATCTGTGAGTGCTCAGCTCTGAACAGGAAAAGTGACGATGGATCCGTCTTTGTGGACATCGGGACTTGAACAGGCGGATGTTTGAGCGCATGTGAGAGTATCAGTGGCTGTAGGACTCCTTATCCCCGGTGGCACCGATTCCTGTTCCGTGCCCACATCTTTTTGCTCGTGCTGTATTTTTATCGCCTGGTTTATTTTTGTCGTGGCTGCGTTGTGCTCCGGGTAACACAAGCCGCCTGACTGCCGTTCAGAGTTCAGCCCTGGCTTCTGGCCGAGGGGTTTTCCCCCCACCCACGGCTGAACAGGGGACTCTGTTTGTAGGGCAGCCCTTTCCCTCTTTTCCTGCGGCAGACCCGCTGCCTGCGCTGGATCCCCGAGTGCCTGGGTATTGTGGCAGGTAACCAGCTCCTTGTAATCGGAACGGCTCCTCGGGATCTGCAGCATAAAGGATGGCCGGGCATGAAAGCACTGCTGCAGGCTTGTCCTGGCTTGTTGTTTGTCTCAGGATTTCTGCTCTGTGGTCCTTGCAGTGTGTTCTGGTTGTGGCAGAATCTCAGAGAGGGGAAGGAAGGAGCAGCTGGGGCTGGGAGCGCAGCGTGTGCTGCGTCTGATGGAGCAGACTTGTGCTAGGCTGCTGGGCTTCATTAATCATATTTAAGTTTCTGTCACTAACTTTTAATTAAAAGCATAGTTGATACCGCTTTAATGAACGTACAGATGTTAGCCATCTTCATGCATAAAAATGCTTTTTAATTCCCTTACTATTCCCTTTATGGCCCTTAGATGCTTTTGCTGCCATCTAAACCGTGTACAGTAGCAGCTGTTTATCTTCTTAATAAAACTTTTTCTTGCATCTGTGTTCGGGAAACAGTAATGGTTTGAGTAAACAATTCCCTGGTATCCTTTAACAACATTTTTTGAAGAACTTGGCAGAAAGGGTCAGAAGTGGTGCCTAAAACGCGAACTCCAAGGCTCTTGCTGACTATAGCCCTGAGCCTGGTGTAAGTCACCTGAAATTTTTGGCTGTTTTCAGGCTTATGTGAGCTGATGAGGAAAATAAGAAGCCCTCAGTGTATGACTTTTGATTCTGATGAGCTTCACGAGGATCTTTTCCCCAAATGACAACTTCTTATTAAAATATCTTTTCTATTTTGGGTTTGCTGCTGATGGTGTGTGTCAATGCTTTGTCGCTTGTTGTGCATCTAACAGCCTGAGCATTTAT